GCTTATCCAATATTGCAACAAATCTGTTAGAATTTCTTAGTCAGTTTAACTCATATTTGTATTGTTGCTTCTATAAACATTTATACCTAACAATATATACAAGAACAATAAAAACTTAAGAAAATGAAAAGCAAAAAATAAACTTTATTTGGAATTGCATTTTCCCTTGGAAACTTTCTGCTGACTTAATATCTAAAATATTAGAAGGTGGTATAAAACATCTGTAGCGGTCTGTTGAAATGCCAACTCTTCAACAAAAATGGAAGAATATCACTTTGGCAAATGATACAAATTGGATTAATTTTATACCAGCTCTATACATCCATTTCTTAGACAGAAAGGAAAAGAATATAAAAAGTCATAAAAATATTTTCTGACCATTCAGAAAAGATCACCAAAACAGCCACAAAGGTACCAGGAATCTTATGTTAATAGCCACATCCACAGCCACTATGCAATGAAAACTTCTAGTCTTATAATGTGATAAACTTCATCAGTCAGTCAGTTATGTGCCATGCGTGATACACACTTAGGCGATCATGTATCTTTAGATACATGACTGATGATGCAAATTTTTCCTGCAGTAGGTTGCCATTTCTTTCTGCAGTAGACCAGTTGCACTCCAAGACTATAGAACCTGGTCTGTCCTACTATTTACCCATAGCTAGAAGGAGAAGAAGAGGATTCATACCTTTCCCAAGGGTATTAACCCTCATTCTTTTTTTGTTAGCATAAGTTATGCTAACCCAGATTAAACACTTGGACAAGGCCCTTTCATAATTGTCATTACTATAGCTTCAGAAATACATCAGTTGGTTCCTCATATAAGGATGGATAGAATTACTAGATTGCTTGTAAAAACAGTTTCATTTTCAGAAACAACACAAAAATGTCTATAAGAAACAATTGATTGATCATTCATTAATTTTCTATGGCTTATCAACCCCATGCAAGTTATTTAAAGCCAGAAAATATTTTTACATTGTAAGAACTTTATTTTTTGGGGGATAATAATGATTTAGTGATAGAAGTCTTACTAATTAACCCATAGCTGGCGGGAGAAAAGGTGGATTCATACCTTTCCCAAGAATATTTGCACATAAAGGAATATAATGAACCCAACTAGAATTGGAACTTGACTCTCCAATTAACAATTCTGAGCCATTATCCATTACACTACATCCAAGCCCACAGCACCTGGTATTCTCAAGTGGTCATCCATATAGGTACTGACCAGGCTTGATATTGCTTAACTTTGTTGATCATACACGAACCAATGTTTCAACATGATATCGCTGTAAGTGCCTGTAAGAAACAAGAAAACCAATTTATGAATTTTAGCAATTACACTATATTGTTAAAAAAGAACATACAATATATTTTAAAAACTCAAGGTTAAAAAATTACACCAATTGACACTATTAACTATTAAAAACAAAAAATTCTCTTTAAACCTTGAAATGTTAGACAAGATTTGTAACAAATATTTAAATCATTTACCATTGTCTACTGATGAGATATTGAGTACTTTGACCATTTTTTTGTCTTCATTCCTCATTTGAAGTGTTATATAAACAAGCTTGTGTTAAATTTAAATCAACAACAAAATATCTCTAAAAAAATATTTTGCTATTATTTTTATTGAAATGTTTACTATTCAAAAATGAACTCCCACAAAGAGATTAGAGATATTAATCAAGTTACAAAATAATCCAACTCAATAATATGAAAATTCATGATGGAATTAACAATGTCTAGACTATTAAAATTGATTTAATGACATGAGATTTATGCAGCATTAATGGATCAGTATAATTCTGATTTTAATGAAAGAAAAAAGAGAAAGGGCAGTAAAGAACTTGAACTTGAAAAAACAAGCTGGAATGTGATTTTTGATAAGAAATTATAATTGAAAAGAATAGTTTACTAACAAATTTCAATAATAAAATTATAGGAAAAGAAAATGTTTGTTTTGATGTTTATCAATTGTATTGTTTGATATTTATGTTTAAAATTTTTATTACGCTGAATACAGAAATAAAAATTCATAATTTTATTTAACTTGAACTTTAAAATGTACTCTTGATACAACTGACTGAATCCTTGAAACACCAAACATTGAAAAAAAATATAGCTTAATAGTTTTTTTTACTAGAACCAAGGAAAATGTTTCACCAGCTTCTGTTATAAAGAAAAATAACATAAAACAAAATCATACATTTTTTTAAGAGTGTGTTAAAATCTGTCTACCCAGGTTTTTGTCACTATCTGGGTGTCAGGATTCCAAACATTTAACAATAACAACAACACATCTTTTAAATGAAACACGAAAAAGATTATTTTCTGAAGGAAATGTAGAATGTCAATTGAAATAGCATGTATATATTCTTTTCAATGATATACAATAACAATTAAATGTTCAATTTTCCTTGAAGTGAAGTTTGTTTTATAAAGTAATTAAGTGTTTGTATGGCTGTGTGAGATGTGTGGACAGACTTACTTTATGACAGTCAGCCTAATGTGTTTGTGAGTTTGTAGAAAACATTTAGTAGGCAGTTACTGGTTAATTCTTTCTCTTGTGTGTATGTACAAGGCCTTAGTTGGTGGCGGCTGGCTGTCTCTCTTCCATTGAAATTGTTGTGAGCCTTGAGAAGCAGTATGCTCCTATTCTTATATCTGTAAGGGTATTCAATATCTAATTTCATGTAGAGGTGTGAACTTTTTGAATACAAAGTTTTCATTAGTTAGAAAATAACTTCACACTGACTCATAAAAATCTTTTCTCAAACCTGTGGGAGTGGTGAATGGAGTTATTATTGCTATTTTTAAATGGTCCAAAATTAACACACAGTAGGTCTACAACTACATATGCAAGTATTTGGGCAGTATTTGCCCTTGTAGTTGTTTATCCAACAAACCTTCTGATGGGATTTTATTGGTTGAAAAATATATATAGATATATAGGATTTAATTCCTATAATTGTTTGAAAGTGAAGATGTTACTATGATTCTACAGATTGTCCCCATGAGCATGTGTCTATGGGGGTTAGAATGTTCAAATCTCCCAATTTGTCAGGGAGATGACTTCTTGATATTATCAGCCTGGACAGGTGATTACAGTATGCAGCACAATTGGAAAGTGTTTACCTTAGCTTTGTGAATGAAATTGAATAGACAAAACTGTTCAGAATCTGTCAATGGTTGTGCTAGCACAAAGTTCCAAGTCATCGTGACCAAGGATTTGAGTGCACTGGCCTTGTTCAAACTATCAATTGAGCCAGATCATGTACTCTCTACTAGAAACTAATTAAGGTTTGCTTATCATAGTTGCACTATAAATCACAGATGGACTGTTTTGAACAAAAACAAATGTGCCTGAGCAAGCATCTGCAAAAGTGACTACAAAAGGGAACAACCATCTACTACCTACCTTAACAGATGAGTGGGCTTGGAAATGAGTAGCCAGTCATTACATATTCAAACTTGTATCACCATTTTTATTGCTTTAAATATAGTTTTTCAAGCTGTTAATTTTACAATAACATAATCTTCAGGCACCAAATATTTCAAATATTAAGTATTCCAATCAATGAGTTTTTACTATGTCTATCCTTCTCTGGATCCATTTGCCATTATATAAAAAATGCCAAAATTAACAGATATCAGATACTTCTGCTACTGAGAAAAAAATCACAACCGTCCATCTCGAGAGTATTTCACTCTAGACTCACCAACTGTCTGCACTCACTGACCTATGACTGAACTTTCACCAACTCACCTATACTTAATTCTTGTTGAACTCTCATTTAATCATCTCCACTCATTGACTTTTGGTTGAAGTTTCATTATCTTGTCACAATGAAATTATGAGAAGCATAAATATTGTAATACTTTGCAATAATAAAGCTATTTATTAATATGTTTATTTTTACTGCCATTTTCTTCTTTTCTACTGACTATATTTGAAATACAACAAATTGATGACTGAAAAAACTCATCCGTTAAATCTTTTGATTAAATGCATTTGTAAAATAAAGAAACTTCAAACTAAAAACTGTTTTTGTGTTCACGGTTGTATGAATGTGTTTAGTAAATCAATAACTGTGAGTCCCTATAAAATATATAACCATTAGTCATGTAGTAGGAGAATTAGTAATGTAGTTTCATTGACTATGTTGTTTGTGCAGTGAATTGAATCTAGATGCCACATTACTGTGGCTATGTTAGAATTCAATTAGTTAATTCAACTTGAATATTTTTCCGTATGTAAAACATTAAATTTAAAATGCTGTCAATTTTTATTTTCCTCATCTCCAAATATTTTAAAGAATTAAAGATTGATCAAATGACTAAATGTAAGTCGTGTTTTTGGCTAAAATCAGCATAAGAAGCGAGTATCAATAAAAAAGACGGATGGACGGACGAGTTTCCAATGTGTTATCAAATCAACCTCATCTCAACGATAAATACATATCTAGCTTAATTTAAGCTGTTGGTTATAAAATCGTTTTCTACAAGAATTCAAATTTAATTTCCATAATTTCATTGGTTAGATTTGCATTTCAACTCATCTTGTTGAAGAATTAATGAATCTAGCTTTGTTTCAGCAGAGATTCTCCGTTAGGCAAATAATGGAAAAAGGATAAGGATCAGTGTTTGCTATTTATATTATTGATTCAAGCAAATAAAAAAATAATCAATAATTTGTCTAAGTTTCTGTAATTCTACAATAACTCCATACATTAATAATTACCACAACATAATTATTTCTGTTTGTTTCGTATTATTGTGATTTAATTGTGCTTCCATAGTTTGATAAAACCCGGAATGTTGCAGACGCAAACCGGAAGTTGTGTTGCTGTGTATTTCGTGCCAGGCGAGAAGTCATTGTACATGTGCTTTTATCGGCATTATTCGTCATGAAAAAATTATTCAATAGGACATCTAGATGGATCTTAAACAAGGTTTTCCGGCAATCCTTCAATTGTGGAATTCCCGCTATGTGCTACTCCAAAACTGCACTGAATAGCCAATTCTTTTGTGGAATTTGTACGATGTCGTCTGCTTCAAATAGCGGTATTTTGACGATGGCCAACACTTACCCATTCCCACGTGCTTTTCATGATTTCACCATTTGCGATATTGAAGAAGAAAATTTCAACAATATTACTTGCCAATCAAATGATAATGTCAGTCATATTCCTGTAATGGCCGAGGAAGTGCTGTCTGTTTTAAACCCTAAAGAAAACCAGGTGAGAATAAAAACATCCATGGTTTTTTTTGTTTTTTTACTGCAGTGAAAAAAGAAAAAGTAAATGAAAATAAAAATTATCTTCCCCACCAAAACCCCAATAATTAACGAAAAATAAATGTTAAAAGTAAAATTAATTAAGCAAGTCTCACTACCCAATCATTTATTTTGTACTTTCAAACTTTTTAGTTTAAAAACTTTGAAAGTTTCGAAGTTTTTAAATGCGTCGAATCAAGAGTTTGTTAGTGACAGATTTTTCGTTTTGTTTTTGAAAGTTGTTGAAATTTTTTCTTGATCCAAATAAATGAAAAAATAAAAAAAGACAAAACCGTAAAACACGAATTTTTAAAATTTTATTTTTTGAGAAACTTTTTTTTAGAAACTAGTGTTATTTGTAAACATTTACTGTTTTTAGTTTAAGTGTAGTAGTCAGTGGGAAAAACTGCTGTCAAAATATAAAAATAATTTTTTTTTTTTTTTTTTTTCTTTGTGCAAAATCGAATTTCACAAAAGAACACGTTCATAATTTTTTTTTTTTAAAAAAAATGTTTTAGCATTTTAGAGATTCTCCGCCTCAATGTGCGAGGATTTTTTACTTTTTTCGTGGAAAAAAAAATGTTACTACTGAATTTTAAGAACCTAAAAATTGTCCTTTCGAACTCGAATAGAAAGATAAAGTAATAAAAAGTCCGTTTTTCAATTTTATATTTTTTTAAGCACAAATTGAGTTTGGGAGGAGTTGAATCAGTTCGGATTTTATTTCTGTTAAAAACAAAAAAGGTGGGGAACACTCGTTGGTGCTAAAATAAGTTTTACTTTTGTTTGAATCTTTTTTTTCCCCATCCGGATGTATACATTTTGTTATTGAAGAGGGAATTTCCTCTGGAAATATGTATTTCCTTTTGTATCGTGCGAATGAAAGCCGAAAATAAAAGGAATTTCAAAGGTTGAGTCATCAAAAACAAACAAAAAAACCTACGTAATTAGAATTATCTATTTTTAAATAAAGGATATTGTTAGTTTACCTTTTCCTTTCAGAGTGAAAAAAATACGTTGATTGCACTATTCAAACCGCTCCCTTCACTCGTTGTTTCAAGTGATTCCGCATAAAAAGGTTATTGATACCCTTTTAAATGTTAGGCTTCAAATATTAATCAAATGTTACTGTCTTACTTTAGCAATAATAATTTTGATTACAAGATCACATGTAAAATAAAACGGCAAAGATTAGGTCATATAATGCATGGCACGAAGTCGAATGATTGAACTATTGAACAATTTTTGTCAAGATTTTTAAGAACTTTCTTCAACTTTGGCTCATATTCTACAAAGATTAGTAGAAAATTTTGCGTTTTTTTTTTTTTTTTTTTTCAGTGCAAAAGATTAATTTGAAAATTTTTACAAAGTGTCTGATTTTAATAACTTTTCAGAACTTATTCTGAAAGGAATAAAAATAAAATATTTTCGAAATGTTTCTTAGAAAATTTTGGTAAAACATTTTTTTTTTAATATCAATTACGCTACGCTCTACTTATTTAATTTATGAAATTTCCAGGAATTCATTTTTGTACTGCTTAAATGTTACATGCAAAACTGCTTGGAGAATTTAAAAATCATGATTTTTTTTTTTTTTTTGTAATACAGGACCCCCAAGTTACCGCAAATCTGCTCTCTGAATCATAAAATACAATAAGAAAAGAAAGAAACTAAGACATTAAAAGCTTTTAATTGCTTTTAATAAAATTATGAACATTGGACACTATTGTCTCGAGAAAAAAAAATTTTTCAATGAATAATGAATTTTTACAAGAATTTTCATTTTTTTTAAAATTTTAATTAGAGTATAAAATTTTAATTGAAATCTTAAAAAAAATTTTCTGTTATTGATTTGTACCGGCTAGGTGATAAGTAAAAAAAAAAAAAAAAAAACTATATTTATTAATCATAAATGGAAAAGCTTACTCCAATTCAGTGACTGCCAATATTTTAAAAAAAGTTTTTTTTTTTTTGTTTTTTGTTTTTTTTAAATGTGCCGATTTTTGTAAATACGAACAGCCATTTTTTATCAAAAAATAAGAGCAATAACTATGGTAAATTTAAAATCAAAGTACCTAAAATCCAATAAAACATTAGATTACCGAGAATATTTTTCTCAATTGTTAAGATTACTGAATAGCTAAAAATTATATAAAAAAGGCGCTCGTTATATTCCACAAGTAACTTTTACAGGTATGCCCACCCGCTAGAAGAAAGTCAACCTGTTTTAGCACCATAAATAACCCACCTGTGTGTAAAAAAAAAAAAAAAAAAAAAAAATGCATTTTTGTGATATTTTAAACTGAAATAAGTAATGTTTCAAATCAGATTAAATAAACTTTAAATCAGCTAATATTCCTCAAATAAAATTTCAGAAAAGTATATCTTTTTAAAGATTTTTTACAAAGAGAATAACATTGTGCTGACAGATGGCTAAAAATGGTGCTAAAATAAGCAACTTTTAGTGATTTAAAAACAAAACTCCTTTCAGTCAATTTAAATTAGATGAATTTTGGTAAATAGTGACAAAGTTTAAATACCAATATCTCAGTTGTTTTTTCACCTAAATTCTATAAACCATTTGACAACAAGATATATACAAAATTTTGTGGTGAACTTTTTTGACTGTTGCTGGACATTACCTGAGTTTTTCTGAAAGACCAGACACAGTTTTCTAGCATTTTTGTAGATACTGAAAATGAATTGCAGCTTCTTAACAATAATTGGTGAATCAACAATTAAGTGTCAAAAACTTGAAAACGAAACCACTTATGAGGAAAAAAAATTCTCTTATTTTACAGTATAGATAACTTGTATAAAAATAAATAGAATAAACCTAATACTAAGGAAGTTGATAGTTTTTTTAGGTCACTTGATCCTAGTTCCATGTGATGGGATTTTTAAAGCTTTTTTTTTTTTTTTTACTGTTTTTCTGGAGTATTCACTCTTTTTTCATTGCTTTAATAAACCTATACAAATTGTTGTTTGTTAGTTTTTTTTTGTTTTCCTATGATTATGGCATTAGGTTTCCTCTATTTCTTTTCAAGAGTAGTGCTCCTCCTATAAAACCATTTTTTAAGTCAAAATACCGTGAAGCATTAAGTTATATAGGAAGCATTCGTGATTGTTCTCAGAACCTCAAAATAATTTTGCATGAGAGTTTCACTATAATTAAAAATACTGTAATGATTACAGAAAACTCTGCCTTTAATTTTGAAAGGACAAATGGAGGTTTAGAACAAGTTCACAATTGTTTTGGGTTCTAACAATGAACTGTATTATGTATTCTGCTGCATTTCATGCCTTCAATAAAAAGCAACAATTCTTAACTTTCAAGACAGGCAGATATAAAAGGTTAGTTTTTAGATCTTGGATCCCATCATTGTAAATGGAGAAGAACTGGAAGATATTATTTGAAAATTTTGTCTGTGTGACATTTTCAAAACAAGGTGGTGGCATGGAAAGCATCAAGGCTAAAGTTGCAGAATCCAGGGCAGCTTTTGGTTGGGTGACGAAGGTGTGGAATGTGACTAAGATTAGCAGAATCACCAAGATCAGGCTTTATAAAACCTTGGTCATTCCTGTCCTGTTATATGATTGTGATACCTCGAAAATGAATGGGGAAATGACAAGCTTATTGACCTAGAAAAACAGCTTACAAAGTATGCTCAAGATTAGATGGCAAGTCCATGTGAAGAACTATTCCAATGTGCCTCTGTGGAACTCAAAGCAGAGTCAAAGATGGAGAAAGTTCAAGGGAAAACCCAAACAATAGCTGCAATGTGGTACTGACCTGAGTCCTTGAAGGAAAGGGAAAAACCAAGAATGACATGGCAAAGGATTGTAGGGAAGAAATGGGCTGGTGACCTTGGGTCAAGGTGCAAGTAGTACCTAAAGATAGGGAAGAGTAGAGATGTTCTGTAGAGGCCTTATGTGCAAGGTGATTCATAAATCAGGCCTCTAACACTGTGTTGACCTGTGAGCAACTGGGAGTGAACAGGTAACATGTGAAAGTTTGTTGCTAGAATTGGATTAAGAATTTTTTTTTTTAAAGAAATGTTTACTTTTTACCTTTGGATTAACTTGAGTTTATTGTTAAGATACTGAAATAAGTAAAATATATATTTATTTTATTTTTATTTGAACTTGCAAATTTTATTTTTAAACAAACTTTTTCAGTGCAAAATTCACAAATGTCATTAAGAATTCATAAAGTTAATTTGAATTGATTGTTTTTCTCTATGCAATTATTCTTCAACAATGAACATATTAAGTATAAAATTAATTTTTTTAGAATTTGTTTTTCTTTAACAGAACAAACATCTATTCTTTTTTGTAAAAAAAAAAAAAAAAAAAAGCATGATGAATTTTTCTGTCCTTCATAAATAAATAGAAGACATTAAAAACGTAGTTTCTCACTGCGAAATTAATGAAAAATGGCACTTAATTTATCACAAAGTTAATGTCAAAAATTAAATTTAATAAATTTATTAATATTATACAACTATTCTTAAAAAATATCACAAAAATAAAGAGAAGACATTCTTTGTCTTACTCTTGTCAATATGTTTTTTTTAACTTTTTTTTTACATGTTTTGTGATTTTAAATAGTGAAATTCACAAAAAAAATTAAGAATTTTGTCACAGAAAGTTAATTTTTTTCTTTGTGCTATTACTCTTAATAATAATGAATATCTTGATTATAAAATTCATTTTTTAAGGAATAATTTGTGTTTTCTTTATAACACATGAGAATGTTGATGATACAATTTTTAAGAAAACCAAAAAGATAATGAATATAACTTATACTGTTAATTTTCCAAAATTACTATAAAAATTTGCGCATTTGAAAAAATTTGAATAAAAATTTAATGTAACATTTTTTTCTATGATACTATTCTTCATAACAAAACATATTGATTTTAAAAAATATTATTTATTTATTATTTAAAAAATGTATGTTGA